CGACCACTGATAGGAGACGCGGAAGGTATTAAACTGATAAAAATAGTACTAAACACACCACTCCTATCTGGTGTCACATTAGCTTGACCGCGCAGTGCCCCAAATTTGCAGTAAGAGCCAAGCCTCTTCTTCCATCTCCCTGTTACAAAAATCAATGCCGTGTACACGTCCACTGATAGGAGACGCGGAAGGTATTAAACTGATAAAAATAGTACTAAACACACCACTCCTATCTGTGGTCACATTAGCTTGACCGCGCAGTGCCCCAAATTTGCAGTAAGAGGACCGACCAAGCCTCTTCTTCCATCTCCCTGTTACAAAAATCAATGCCGTGTACACGTCCACTGAGCGTGAATGATAAACTGATCAGAACAATACTAAACACACCACTCCTATCTGGTGGCACATTAGCTTGACCGCGCAGTGCCCCAAATTTGAATTAAGAGGACCGACCAAGCATCTTCTTCCATCTCCCTGTTACAGAAATCACTACCATATCCATACAAATTGTACAGAATGTCAAGGATAGTTTTCCAGGGACAAATGTTGTCGCCTGTTGAACAAGGTGACCTTGCTCGGGTCCCAGGTGTACGGTTCCTAAAATGGCTGCCATATACACGTCCACTGATAGGAGACGCGGAAGGTATTAAACTGATCAGAACAATACTAAACACACCACAAATAAGGTTTCTCTCATGTATGGCTCCTCAAATGATGCTTAAGATTAGAAGCGGCTGAAAAGCATTTCTCACACTCCGAACAAAAATATATTTTTTTAACATTCTCTCCACTTTGAACGAAATGACGTTTGGGAAGAGATTAACATAATTAAACAGGCAGTAAAAATACAGTTTTTAGCCATACCCTGTAACTTTAAAACTACACATCCCATCTTCATAATTACATATTTGGAATCAGCACACTTAAAACATAAACATAACCAAAAATCAGCCAAATCCATCAGGGGTTAAAAAGTTAGCTGGAGGTCCCTTTATGACCGACCGCAAGCACATTTTCCTGCCCAAAACAGTTCCATAGATTTGGGCTTATGGGGTGATCTATTCGGAAAAAAAGCGACTAGAAGATTAGCATAAACGAATGGGACTTGAACTCTGCAACTGAAATAAGGCTGAAAAAAGACTAAGAATCTATGGCGAATGGGACTTAGTCTCTACGCTGAAATAATTTCCATTTATGATTAGAAATTGGAAATGTAAAGGCAGGCACAAAGGGTTTG